AAGACGGCTAAAGAGATATGTGATAAGCTGACAAAGCTATATGAGGTCAAATCGTTACACAACAAAATCTTTTTGAAGAGAAGACTTTACAACAATCGGATGATGGAGTCAACCATGATGATCGACCACATCAACACCATCAATATTTCATTTTCATAGCTTACGTCAACGAGGGCATAATATAGGGGTGAGTGAACGTACTGAGATTTTACTTCAAAATCCACCTAATTTGTATGATGAACGCATTATTAATTTAACCTATAACATAAAAAGTCTAGTCTTTGATGATGTTGCAGCTACAGTTCTTGAAGAAAAAAGTCGGCGCAAGAACAAGGAAGACATATTGACAAGCTCACAACATGCAAAAGCTTTGACAATGATGAGAGGAAAATCAACGAAACGTGGCCTCAGTAAGAGTCATAATCAGAGTATATCAAGATCCAGAAGTAAAAAAGAATGACAAGTGTCATTATTATGGCAAGAAATGATACTAAAATAGTGATTGTTGGAGTCTCAAGAAAATGAAGAAGACGAAGAAAAAGGCCATGAATCGTCAAAAGCTTAGGGTTGTGTAGCAAACACCTAAGATATAATGAAATTTTATACAATAGGCAATAACAGCCGTTGAAGGCAACAAGTAATTTTTTGGATGTCTAACTTATGGACTCAGGAACTCCATGGCACATGACACCAATGAGAGAATGGTTCCATCAATGTGAATTTATCTCAAGAGGATTTGTGTTTATGGAGAATGATCATGCCTTGGAAATCGCTGGTATTGGTATTATCAAATCAAAAATATATGACGGTATAATTCGCACATCCAAGAAGTACGACATGTAAAAGGCTTAAAGAAAAATATATTGTCTTTAGGACAAATAGATAGTATTGGGTACAAAATCCATGTACAAGATGGGATCATAAAGATAGTTAAAAATATGCTTGTGGTGATGAAAGCGGAAAAGATAGCTGCAAATTTGTATATTCTTAAATGAGAGACAATACAAGAAGGAGAAGGATCTATTGAATCAAGAAGTTCAGCAGAAGAATTAAGGATGATGTGACACTGCAAGCTTGGCCATGTGTCAGAAC